AGTTGCAGAGTGATGGTGTAGGTACCAGATATACTCGGGGCCCTGCGCCTGCTGATGATGTTATGTTACATGATTGGCTGGACATCAACATGTTGACGTAGGAAGTTTTCGTTGGTCTGTACAAACTACGGAAGCAGTTTTACGAGTTGTAGTTCTTCTGTGTACGAAACTTTTGCAAAGAAATGATTCATAACCGAAATGTGAAATAAAAGCAAAAAATTTCTATTTATAAAATCTAACTGGTCTGATATTTGAAATGTGGTGCAGTTTTATTTTGTAAAAAGTAAAAAGAACTTTATCAAATAAATAGCAAGTATACAACACAGGAACAAATGAGCTTACAGAAACAAGACAGCTTGATTATATGTAATAATTCATATATGGGAGCTCTTTTGAGAACCTTGTTGTTGATACAGTCGGATATGGATTTTATGTAAAGTTTCACAACCATAAAGCCATTCTATGCAACCTTTTCATATTTTAAATCATTTTCTTGAGCCAGTATGTGCTAAAATGACCTTTTGTATGGTTAACGAAATGTCACCAAGACCCCACTGCCACCGTTGGCCAGAATATTGCACTTGCAGCTTCAGAGTTGCCAGTTCGGTCCCTGTTGGACTTATGCTACTTACGCACTAGCATCGGCTCCACTCCATTCCGCTCCGCCTGCCCCAGCCTGGCTGCGTTCCTTCCACACTGCCTTGGGAATGTGGACGTGACTGGGAACATAGGCAGTTTGTGGCCTGTGATGTCATGAGGTCATCTCCGAGGACGTGGGCAGGGCAAAAAAGCACGTAGAAGTCCACGGTGTCGCCATTATTACACAAAAGCGGCCTGAGCAGTCTTGCTTTTCAAGACCGACTCTGATTTTACATCCTGCTTTGCTGTGGCTAGCAGCACTGTATCTGTGTGTGTGTGTGTGTGTGTGTGTGTGTGCGTGTGTGTGTGTGTGTTTGTGCACACTCCTCACAGCAGTGAGAGACAGAGAAAAACGGCTTCAGTCAGAGGCTCGTTAACTCCACAGCATCCAGAATGCTAATGAATTGTGCATGCAGGAAATCCAGCGGGCATCTGTCAATCAGAGGCTCCACCTAATGGTACGCATGATTTTGAGCCAGCCAATCAGCCGAGAGTTGGCACTGTTCAGTTGCAAGCAGATCACCTCAGGAGAAGGGCTTAAAAGATGTACAGTTGCGCGCGGGAATCCAAGGCTACGTAAAAGAGAACACTCCCAACCCAGTCCAGGTGGAATGGAGCCGATGCTAGTGTGTGCCATTAGTGACATGCCTGGTGCTGAAGTCTGCTCCCAGTACATTTCCTGAATGTTTTAGATCATAAACACAACTAATTTGATTTAAAGAGACAATCAGTAGGTTTAACCTTTAATTTCTGCAAATATCCATCAAAACGTTGTTGAAAATGAATAAAATGATGTCCAGCTGTTGAAAAATATTGGTGGCTTTGTAACATATAACCAAAAAAATTGGGTCTAAAGTACATAAGGCACGGGCATCGACAAGGGTCTAGCATCTTTGGGAGGACGCCATGTTTCTTTCTGGCCAGCTTGGGGTCCTGCCCCTGTTGATGACATCACACTAGATGACTGGCAGAACGTACGACTTACAGGTTACTTTACCATGCTCAAAAACATTTAGGCAGTAAGAAACACAAATTTAATAACAAAACTTCTAAACTCTTTCCAAAACATATGTGAAAGAACAGAATTGAAAGAGATGCAATGTATTTTGGCTGAGCGGTATTGCCGTAGTATTACGACGTCACTGGCAGGCGCCGACCCCCCAGCAGATCCGGAAAATCGTAAGAAAAAAAAAGCTCAAAATAAGGTCAATAACTAACCTGCTGAACTTCGTACAAAACCTTTGTGCGAAAGAGCAGTAACAAAAAAGGTGTGTCACAGTTTCTGAAACCCACAGAAACAATTTCTGTAATTTGTCTGGACCATACCAAATCTTCAACATCAACATGCAGCCGAAAACAAAATGTAGCATCATTGGCGGGGCATAGGTCCCCGAGCATATATGGTACCTGCAACGGGATCACATGACTGATATTTTTAAAACCTACTAATTTTTACTGTGTTTACTATACCTGTGAAGCAAGAATTTTCTTTCTCTGTATTTTGATGTGTCGATAACATGGATGCTTTTGCCCCCTAGTGGTGTGATAGGGATATTTTCACAAACAGAGAAAAAATACTCCCAAAAACTACATAAAACTCTCAGTCACAGCATTCTACCATTAAATCAAACTATGAGTAGTTTGTACTGGTTGATGCTGCCCTCAAAGAACCAGTGATCTTCCATTACATATGAGTCTTTAAAACATCCATGTCCAAACAAGCACCATATCAGAAAAACCATCAGGTTTATTTAATCTGCTCCCGCGTCTTTATTGCCATAGATCTGCTGTGTTTCACCGACACATACAATGTGTGACCATCAAAGACTATATGAAGAAGGGGGTGCGGCTCAAAGTTCACTGAGCAGCATTGTGTTTGAGAAATAGGAACTATTGATCTGACGGCTCATTCAATAATTCAATTCATCACTGGAAACGCTGCCTCTATATTTAGCACTTATTGCTTTGTGCACCATTTCATACTTCCTCAAACAGACTTTAATATTCTGTATTATATTTTAGCCAAATTAATCTACTATTAAATGACTCTTCCTGCCTATGAACAACTGTTTACAGAGCCGAGGCCTCCTGCGCTACACGGACAAATCTCTAATCCAGATGAACTCAATGGGCTTCTTACAATGAATGATAGGAGAGCAGCTAAGCTAGGTAATGATCGATCGATCAATCAATCAATCAATCAATCAATCAATCAATCAATCAATCAAAGCTTTATTTATAAAGCGCCTGTCGGGAAGTCCAAAGCGCTGAACACGGTACATGAGAAAAACAGGTAAAAGCATTAAAGTAGAGAACAAATGGGTAAAACAAGAGATAAAGAGACAGATGAAAGCAGGGAAATAAAATCAACATAAATGAAGGCCTAACTCAAACAGATTCAGGGAATGCCAAGCGGAGGAGGTGGGTTTTTAGGCGACTCTTAAAGGCTGGCAGAGATGAGGATAGCCTGACTGAGGGTGGTAACTGGTTCCAGAGTGACAGGGCTAGGACTGAGAAAGCCCGGTCCCCACGAGTACGACACCTAGAACGAGGGACAGTGAGTAGGCCTTGGTCAGAGGAGCGCCGAGTGCGTGATGGGGAATGTCTGTTCAGGAGCGTGGCCAGATAGGGGGTGAGCACCACCCTGGAAGAAATTGTAAACAAAGACGAGGAGTCTGAAGTGTGAACGATAACAGACCGGAAGCCAGTGCAGGGAGGCCAGAACCAGACTGATGTGGTCCCGATTCCTGATCCCAGTTAGAAACCTGGCTGCACTGTTCTGCACAACCTGTAGGCGGTGCAGTAATGATTGACCCAGTCCAGCATATTAAGAGTTGCAGTAATCAAGCCTAGAAATTACAAAAGTATGGAGTAGCCACTCCAGGTGGGCTCTCAACAGCATAGGCTTGATTTTTGCAAGGCGTCTCAGATGAAAGAAACTAGACTGGATCACAGAGTTGATGTGAGCGTCAAATTTAAGTCCAGCATCAATTTTCACCCCCAAACTGGTGACAACTGGTTTTGAGTAGGGAGAAAGAGGGCCAAGATCAACATAACGACCCACAGCCCTGCTGTTGGGGTGAAAAACAATGAGCTCTGTCTTTCCCTCATTCAGATGCAGATAGTTAGCAAAGACTTTACCTCGATAAGACAGGGCACAAAGGACTGGATAGAGAGACCTTTCTCTTGACACAATGGAGAGTAAATCTGGCAATCGTCAGTAGTAGAGATGGAACGCTAGACCATGTTTACAAAAGATTGACCCCATGATCAACGCTTGGCTCCAGAAACAAAGAAACACAGTAAAGCCCATTTTCAGAGTGACATTCTGGAATATGTGTGGACAATTCAGTCCGGTTTTTAACCAGAACTGTGTTTTCAGACACACCACTTTTGTACCTGAACTTGTCCTTTCGGCTGCGTTCACACAGCAGGGAAAAGTTCCAGATGTCTGAGGGGGAGGGGGTGGGAAGGCTGTACCCAGATGCTGTGTAAACAGTGCGGCGGGCGTACATTTACCCAAACAAAGCCATTCAGTCAAACATGGCAGACGAAGAGATAGAATTCCTGTCACTGATCGGACTTATGTTAAGCATAATTCTGTGCACACGAAGACGCATAAGAGACCTGGATGATGAAGCTCAATGGTTAATAAAGGAATCACGGAAGCGGTGTGAAGCGCTCCGTCGCGCGTCTAGGAGACGGTACCGTAGGAGGCGAGCTGCCATGGTTCGCCGCATGCTACAGGAGCGAGCTAACTAGGTGCGCACAGCATCCCTCGGTCTCCTCCTCCCCTTCCTCCCTGTCCAGAAATTGACCCCACCAGTCTGAAGCAGCCGCCCTGTCCGTGACAAGTCCATTCCTGTTACTAGGGGCTTCGTCCGGTTAAATTGCGGAAAAGGTTATCCGGATGTTTGTATTCAGACACAAAGGTCTTACGGACAGAGTCCCGAACATTTCCGTTTTTCATGGCCTGTCTGAAGGGGGCTTAAGGAACACAGCAGAATAACACATACTTTAAACCGGGATGGTTAAAACATGCATGCTTCACTACATTGTTTCCTTCTGCAAAACAGCAAGATGACAGCATGGTAACTGGTTTGTCTGCAACCCCAACAAAGTACCAATACAGTCTCACACCTTTGTGATGGGTAAAATGAAAAAAGAGAAATAACATCAGAACCCAAGGGCTAATCAATATGGCGTCCATGCAACATAAAGGAGAGGAATTAAAGCTGTCATCTCACTCCTAAATGAAAACCCGAGGATTGACGTAGACGTAGATGTGGAGCAGTGCAGGGTGTGAAAGTGAATGGAGCACGTCTTGTGTTTGAGAGAGGCCCGTGGCCTCTGATCCCTACCGGATAGCCTTCTGTTTTCTTCTGGCACCACTTCAATAAAGCGTTCCTCTTAGATCCTCCGTACTCCCGCGCCAGAGCGGCCAAGGGGTCTTTTCTTTCCACACTGTCACAGGGGAACACGGACCGCAATCAGAGACAGAGAGGGACAGTGGCACAAAGTCATCTGGAGTACAACATGTGCAAAATTTGGTTCAGCTGTAGAGCTTCTACTGTCTCCACACCCACGCACAGACATCGATGCCCAGAGGAAGCCGCATACGTGCAATAATAGTCTAATGATTGTCTACCAGCTAAAAATATGTTCGATTAAAACAGCATCTTCGCTATATTAAATCAAAATGTCTTTTAGATGGCAAATAAAGTTTTGGGTGTACGGTTTACAGATGAAAAATCCTCTCTAAATGACCGGATTTTCACTACCCAAGGGCAATTTTCTTATCTTACCTTATTGCTCTGATACCAAAGCTGCTCTGTAGTGTAGTTTAGTTTATTTGTTTTACAGTTCAGAATGAAACCATGATTACTTTGGAGCAAAGCCACCTAAACACAGCACCCAACCTGGCTTTAAAAGTTTTTTTTTGTCTACTGGCATCACTCCACCTCCTCCAAGGTTTACAGCTGCTCTGCCGTAAAGAAGACTGGGAGGAAGCTGCACGTATAGTTGATAGATTAAATGCTTATCTGTAGTTATATTCCAGGGGTTTACTCCCCGGGGTCTGAGGCCATGGGAAGACCACGGGACACGGTCGTTGCTCTCAGAACAATAAACACTTAACACGTCACAGCAGCTCTGCTGTTGAATTAATTATTTCTCAGTTTCAATCATTATAATGCCAGAAGCTGTGATGTCCTGCCCAATAAAATCATTCATTTGCAGAGGGGGGTGAGTATTTGCATTTGTCATTAGTGACTACTTGGGCCTTTATAATAACCCTGAAATGACCAAACATGGTTATAGGCTGAGTTGATCTCTGGAAATGTCCTGTAAGGAGCTTCGGAGCCTGATGATTATATAGATGATGTCAGATCAGGATGAGGTCAGATTGGACTGGTTTTTGGGTTCCTGCTACTTGCTGGGATGTAAAGAAGAGGGTGTTTAAAGGTTAACTTAACTAAAGGTGAAAAAGTCGCATCAGTGCATTGGTTTACAGAATGAGCATACCTCAGTTTACTGTTGCCACGAATGTAGCTGAATGGCGCAGCGCGGCTGCTGAAGGACGCAGGACTTTTGATGACGCTTTCCAAAGAGGGACTCTTCCTCATTAGGCTGTTAGGTTTCAGGTCTCCCCCAAAACCTGGCAACTTATCTGTGAAACCAAGCGATGCAACAAACAGAAGCAGACACAGAAGAATGTGACAAAAGAGCAGAAACAAACCCAGCAGAGCATATCCTGCAAATGTTTTGCTTCCAGGAAACAGTGTTTTTAAAACGGTTCCTCTGGGACTTCTGCAAACAAGTCCTCTGTGAGTTATTAGAGAGGATTTTAAGAACTTAAGCACCACCAATCACAGTTTTTCAAGGGGAAGATCATTAAACATTCAATAAAACCAGCAGAAGCCGGATACTGGTGTGTAACTGCTCCTTTGTTAGACCTGCAGGAATGGAGAGGGGGGGGGGGGGCATCCTGCAGACTCAGATGCAGGAACGTAGATCGACCGGTAAATCGTGAGCTTCATCTTCTGTCTCAGCTCTGTCTTCAACAAGTTAGATTACAACGCCTGCATCACTGCAGACGCATCACTAATTTGCCTATCGATCTCATGCTCCATCTTTACCTCTCTCGTGAACAAAACCCCGAGATACTTAAACTCTACTTATACTCTGAAGCCCTCTGTGAACACCAGTCTTTGAGTCAACCTCATTTCATTAGCCCCATTAGCTTCTGAGACCCGTGTCCCTGTGCAGGACGCTGCAGCTGAAGAATTTAACACAAACCCCAAACTGTTACTTACCTTGAGAATAAGAAAACTCGCCATGGTTAATTCTTTTATCCAGAGCCTTTGAAAGTGGTTTTATGTACGAATGTCTCTATAAGGAAACATAAACACTGTTTAGCAGAACGTGAAATAGTTACACACGAACATTTTTAGGAGAGAACCAAGTGGCTGAATACCTGGATAGGTGAGACAGCAGCAGCTGGTGCAGTGCGTACAGGAATCCCACTGAGAGGGCTTCTTGGTGACAGCTGCATCTGAACTGTCTGGGCTGGTCCGTCTGTAAGATCCAAGTCAGACTGATCTGCAAATTATTTTAACTTGCATTCCTTCACTCCCAAACCATGTAAATATTACTCAAAGCGCATACATGGAAGGATTGTCTAATCAGAGGGCTGGTTAAAACAGGAAACGGCTGGAACAAAACAACAAACAAACCCAGGTGAACTCCAGCGTTCAAAACCGAAGAAATGGATGTCTGAAGTGTTTCCGTAGTCAATAATTGCCACTTACTCCTTAAACTAACGTTTTCTCAGTTGTCATGATTTGAGTTTAAGGCTTCATATTTATTTTTGAGCGAACAATATTTCACAGCAAATCTGACTTTTTAAATTAAACATGCAACAAAACTAAACTAAATTCAAAACTATTAAGTTCTGAACGCCTCACAGGTTTCTCCAGCTCATCTCTTATTAGAACTGTGCTGAGAACCCGCTGGAACCTTGCTCCCAACAAACCTGGGGTTGTTTAGCTCAGGCCAGACAACACAACAACACAACTGCTAAGAGCTCTGCTGCAAAGAAATGACAGAAATTCCTGCTGGAGATCATCCGTTGTGCTCTACAGTTACACTGATGTGAAGAAATGCCCCACCAGTGTGTGTGTGCGTGTGTGTGTGTGTTTAGGTGCTCACTCTGTCCAACAGTATCAAAGGATTTTATGAGGGATTTGACAGTAGCTCCTGGCTCGGAGCTGGCATCTCCACTGGTGTCGGCCGGGGTGGGGATCATGGAGATTCCACACCAGTGACCGTTGTCGGACACTCTCACCTCTTCACCTTGGGACCTGGCAGACACAATAAACAGGGTTTGCTGTACACACACACACACACAAACTGCCACTGTGTGACCTTTTGATTAGACTTAAAAACCTCACTTTATCTTATAAAGTAACCTATGAAAAATAATGTTTGGTTTAGTTACAAGATTGATGTGATGTGTGTTTGAACTAAAAATGGCCGTTAGCTGATAATCAGTGACTTACAGAGAGAGAGAGGGATTCAGTTTTTTCACCAGAGGTGGATTAGGAATGATGAACAGGAAGTTCTTAACTCACCTCCACAGAGATGACAGACACAAAAACCACTGGTCTGGATAATATCCTTTATTCAATTACCTCATGAACATCAAGCTGAATAAATAAACAGAACATACTCGATTCTTCATGAAAAGCGCACAATTTAACACACTGTCGTGTCATTTTTGTCTCGTCTTTTCTCATCTTTAAATATTAGTAACTTGAGCACCGGTACAGATTATGTTTTTCTGGCAGGATTATATGGCGTTTGAATTTTGGATGGTTAACTATAATGAGTCATCGGGGGTCGCTAAAGAGAAATCGGAATCAGGAACCACTGGGATTCAAAAACAAGAGACAAATGGTCAATGCTGTTAGAAAGTATTTCTGTAGCAAAAATGTTAAACTGTTGAAATAAAAATCTGCATCTGACAGTGATGCATTGATGAAAAAAGAGAAGTGAAATAAAACATTAAAACAGCACAGTTTTCTTAGTCTAACAGTGGAACAGGACCGTCAGTGTTTTTGGCTTGAATCAAAAGTCAGTAACGCAAAACGTGGAGCCGGGCTGCACAATACGGCAAACATTTGTGATTACTGCTATAGCAATTAAAATTTGGTGTTTTGGGCATTCAAACTCTACATTGCAATAATTATGGAGCCAAACTGATGGACTCTTACTGTCATGGTCACTCAAACCAGTTCAGTCAGTATCATCAAATAATGTTTTTATTATATTGTGCAGCTTTTTCAGTCTGTAGCAGTTAACTTGGGAGTAAAATTTGCTCTTTAAACTCTGAGCAGTTTAGAGTAAATGTTTGATCTGTGACACCATCTAGTGGGCTGCAAACTAAGTACAGTTGAATGAAAAAATGTTTAGTCAGCCACCAATTGTGCAAATTCTTCCACTTCAAAAGATGAGAAAGGCCTCTCATTTTCATCATAGACCTCAACTATGAGATAAAAATGAAACAAAACTTTATGAAATCACAGTGTCTGATTTTTAAAGAATTTATTAGCAAATTATGGTGGAAAATAAGTATTTGGTCGCCTACAAAGAAGCGAAGTTTCTGGCTCTCATAGACCTGTAACTTCTGTAAGGGGCTCCTCTGTCCTCCACTCGTTACCTATATTAATGGCACCTGTTGGAACTTGTTATCAGTATCCACAACCTGACTGATTGATTACCGTGTCTGCCAGGTCCCAAGGTGCAATCCAAAACTCCACTATGGCCAAAACCAAAGAGCTGTCAAAGGACACCAGAAACATATTGTAGACCTGCACCAGGCTGGGGAGACTGAATCTGCAATAGGCAAGCAGCTTGGTGTGAAGAAATCAACTGTGGGAGTAATTACTAGAAAGTGGAAGATATACAAGACCACTAATGATCTCCCTCAATCAGGGACTCCACAAAAGATCTCACCCCGTGGGGTCAAAATGATCACAAGAACGGTGAGCAAAAATCCCAGAACTACACGGGGGATCTAGTGAATGACCTACAGAGAGCTGGGGCCAGAGTTACAAAGGCTACCACAAACGCTACGCTGCCAGACAGTCAAATCCTGCAGTGCATTTGGATGATCAGGAAGAGAACTGGGAGTGTGTCAAATGGTCAGATGAAACCAAAATAGAACTTTTGGGGTAAAAACTCTGCTTGTCGTGTTTGGAGGAGAAAGAATACTGAGTTGCATCTAAAGAACATCATACCTACTGTAATGCATGAGGGTGGAAACATTATGCTTTGGGGCTGTTTTTCTGCAAAGGGACCAGGACAACTGATCCGTGTAAGGGAAATGATGAATTAGGCCATGTATCGATTTTGAGAGAAAACCTCTTTCCATCAGGAAGGGCACTGAAGATGAAACATGACTGGGTCTCTCAGCATGACAATGATCCCAAACACACCGCCCGGGTAATGAAGGAGTGGCTTTGTAAAAAGTATTTCAAAGTCCTGGAGTGGCCTAGTCAGTCTACAGATCTGAACCGCATAAAAAAATCTTTGAAGGGAGTTGAAAGTCTGTTGCCCAGCGGCAGCCCCAAAGCATCACTGCTCCAGAGGAATGGGCCAAAATACCAGCAACAGTGTGTTTAAACCCATGTTAAGACTTACTTACAGAAAACGTTGGATCTCTGTCGTTACCAACAAAGGGTTCATAACAAAATACTGAGATGGACGTTTGTTATTGACCAAATACTTATTTTCCACCATCATCAGCAAATCAATTCTTTAAAAATCAGATATGTGGTAGTCCAGATTGGTTTTTTTTCCCTCATTTTGTCTCTCATAGTTGAGGTGCACCTATGATGAAACTTACAGGTCTCTCATCTTTTTAAGTGGGAGAACTTGCACAATTGGAGGCTGACTAAATACATTTTGACCCAATGTAACTGAGCGGAATCAGACAAACACATAAGAGACTAGCACAACAATTCCACATTATAAATGATAGAAACCTGACTTTCATTTGTTTTTATGTTACATTAACATGGATTTACTGGTTGTAAAAAAAAGTAGAATTTTCATACCGTAATAAAGAAATTTTAAAACAAAACATAACAAATCTTTCCATCTTCCTAACTTTCCGAAAGGCACAGCGGATCTTCATACATTGTTAAAAAAGAAAAGAAAAAAGAAAGGTAAAGTCACTTAAACATGAGGCATTTTTCCATATCACAATTACAGTACATAAACAAGTACAATCACTGGGAAATACACAGATAAAATGCTTGAGAATGATCAGATGTGTAGAGAAATGAAACTATTTCATATTTTCTTTGCACTTTGACGATCCTGCACAGTGACTCGCAATAGGACGAGTCTTCTAGCCTAGTGAACTAGACCAAAATCTTGCTTAGCAAAGAATGGTCTAGGTGTGGCAAGGTGGATAAACGAGGGCCCGGGCGGGATTCGATCCACAGACTCCCGGGTGAGAGTCATACGCTCTAACCAGTCAGCCAAAGGGACATCCCCTTGGCCAAGTAGCCAGGGCGCATGATCAATCGGGACATTGTGACAGGACGCTCACACTGTCACATAGGCATGCTCCATTGGAACCTCCGCAGCTCCTACCAGGACTCTGGCTAGCCAATCACAGCTCTCTAGAGGGGTTTCAAACACATAAAGAGCTGTGATTGGTCCATAATGGTGGGCCAATCATAGTGCTCTATCTGCTTAGTGAACAAATCACAGAGCTTTATCTGCTTTGTGGGCCAATCAGGGCACTCTATATGCCTGGTGGGTGGGATGATGCAACAGAGTGAAACAAGAGTATGTCACATTCATTGGCCAGTGGAATGCGGAGCTCATTTGAAAGACAACGGTAGAACCCGCCCCACAACCGAGAGCCGTCAATGGAGCATAGCCAGACTAAATAATACATTTATTTAGTCTGGCTTGCCAGGCTACGAGTCTTCTGCACCGAAACTGTAAAAATAAAGAGCACGAGTGCAACAAAAACACGGTCTTCACACGATGCTGAGACGAGGATGATCCTCTAGTGGCCTTCGACGGCTGTCTTGGTATCAAAAGTGGCTCCAGTGCTTATTCTGAAAAGATAAAGAACAAATTTTACTTATCGTTATTTTTTAAAGCTTTTTGTACATAACTCCGATCCATGCACACCTCTTACACGACTACCAGTCACACTGCCACATCACTCTGTGATGAAGGCAAATTGGAAATGTATCTGTATCATATGATGCAAAGCATGAGTTCAATCCGGTCATGCCAGTGCGACCATCTCATCCTGCTTTTTAAAAATCTAAAAAGTAGGAAGGTTATTTACCAAAATCAACCAGCAGGTGGCACCAGATACATCTACTTGGACTACTACAGGTTTCAAGAGCCAGGAAAAAAGCAAACCAAAAGATGTTATCGTCCTAATGGTACGGTCAGCCAGAGGACAGTAAAACAGACAGAGTCAGACAGGCTGAAGAAGCAGCATGAAGCCAAACACAGAGAGGAAGATCAGGGAGTATCAGCAGCACACAGGGCACGAGAAGGCAGGCTTGGTGGGGACTCACCTGGACTCCACACAGGGACGCTTGTCTGATGGACATCATTTACAGAGACATCACAGGGAGCTGATGGAGGTGGGGAACGCACGCAGCATAACAGCGTATCTCGTGGGAAAGTTTGGAGGTTTAGACATGGTCTAAGACCAGTACAGTAACTAAATACACAAGTCCTGCTGGCGATCTAGAGTTAGAAACGACTAGTCCTTAACTCTAATGAATAAAAGTTCACATAAATCTGAGCAGAGAGAGTGGATCTACTGTTAAAAACACTTTACTCACATATAAACCAACGCTTTGGAGAGAAACTCTAATCAACTCAACATTGTCTAAGATCTTAAACAGCATGACACGTTATTTTTTACCTAACTAGATCCAAGCAGTTATTAGATCTGCCACCAAACCTGTTCTGTTTTTGTAACAAAATGTGCCAAGTTAATTTACCAAATGTGAAAATCACTGTAAGCCACTGATTCAGGTCAAAGATGGAAACAGAAGGCAGCAGCTTTAAGGAGGGGAACACACAGAGGACAATACTGCAGGAGACTGCTCACTGACCAACACGTTCTGCCAAATCCCAGAAACCAGAGCAACAGGATTAACAAATAACTTTAACACAATGAATTTGGGCGTTCACTGCAGATTGTTTGGACCACTTATTTTAGGAAAGATGGCAAGAATCTGGCAGGTGGGTCGTTCTCTCACACGTTCAGAGTGAAAGGAACTGCAGTCTGCTGCCTGACGGGGGAGCCGGAGGACATGTCTGCGTGGGGACAGAACGGTAAGGACGACGGACACGGTACCTGACTCCCTGCAGAGCCTCGAGGTCTCCTGAAAGCTTCACATTGCGGTCCTGCTCCTCCTGCAGCTGCCTCCTGAGCATTCGTAGCTCCTGCTGGGCTTCCACTTTGATGTCGTTAGCCACCACCACCGCAGTCTGGAGGTCTGCCTGAAAACGACGCCACTCCTCCTTTTCTTCCTGAAAAAAAGGAATTAGACCAGGAAATGTTTACACACACAGGCTAATTCATATACAGACACAATTAAAGATCAGTGAAACTAATAAAAAAACTAAAAACTGAATTTCGCACGTCTTATTTCGCCATTCTTCAAACTATTACGGTAAATACCTAAAGTACATTGTACAAAACATGCTTCATTGCAACATAATCCTCTAAATCCTATTAGAAAAGAATGATTCTTTAATCTGCTTCAGCCCTAAATGTATCGAAGACTTGTTATCTATTCAAGCGGATACTGGGTTTACAGCTGTCAGGGTTATTTTGAGACACTGGAAAACTGATAAATCTCCAGAGATGAACTACTTAGTAAGTGGAAGGGTTGAGATGGACATGCTGATTGAACAGGATAATCAATTCTTTGGGATTTTATTTTGACTTATGTATGAAAAATGGAAGGGACTTCTTCCTGGATTTCACGCTGGAGTCTTGAATGACTGTGGCTCAGTTACAACCCCAAGCCAGAAAACAACTCAGAGATCATCTGTGCTTCTTTGCTGTTAAAACCTGACCTGGTGAAGTGTAAAGCTAGTTTCTAATCACCTTGGAATAACATTTTATTTCCACATGTTGAGAATTTCTTACCTTCATCTGTCGACTGAAAACCTTCAGCTGTCGCTCTGCTTCTGTTTTCTGCTCCTCCAGCTTTTTGACCAGATCTGCAGCAGCAAAGTTCATGTTTTTAACTACTGATGCACAAACTACAGAGTAAAGTCATTTCATGGTAGCAAAGAAAACTCAATAGATTATTGAATTTTCCTTATAAAATCGGATGCCTCTTTATTACATTTAGGACAGCAAGGCCCGGTTCATACGGCACAATTTTGAAGTTATCGGACAATTTTCAGAACATGAAAGATCCAACATGTGGTGATTAAAAAATGTTCCTGCTTCCACAACTTCCCTGGTGAAGTGTTCTGGGCATGTCCAACTGAGTGGAGACCTTGGGGAAGTCCCGGGACACATTGGAGGGACTATGTTTCTTGGCTGGCCTGGGAACACACTCCCCTGGAGGAGCTGAGAAGAGGGAAGCCTTGGCCTCTCTGCTTTAGGCTGCTGCCCCCACATCACGACCCCAGATAAGTGGAAGAAAATGGATGGATTGTCATACAGTGTGTGGTGCCGATTTCACACACCAACATTCCACAGTCAGACAAAAAATCTTGTGAGACAAAACGTGAATTTGGAGAAGACAAATGTGGCTGAGGAGGAATGTGCAGCGCACTTGGGTCACCTCGCTTTCCGATTGGCCATGTCACATTCAAAAGGCAGCCAGAAGCAACCCAGATTCATGATTGGAGTGGTCCCAACATCCTTCTGAGCTAACCAGTGCACCCCTAACACACTGTAAGAAAATCTGATAAGATTATCTTTAGAGCATTTATGGTAATCTGGCGAGTTCTTAAGCTTGTTGGAAGGGAAGGATCGGGTCAAAAATCCTCACAGAGGTGAGCAGCACTTACTCTCCATGTCCAGGACAGCTTGTTTGGTGTGACAGTTTACAGCCCTCTGCTGCTCCACCTGGTCCTCCAGCTCAAAGATGGTCTCCTTCATTTCCTTCACCTGGTTCTCTGCCTGAATCCCAACTTCCTCCAGAGAAGTCACTCGGGTGCTGAGCTCCTGCTCTCTCCTCTCAGCCTGCTCCTGAACTAGCTGGCATTTGACCTCCAGCTGTGTGTTAAAAACATTAGTGAGCATTAGAATTGGTTTGGGCACAAACGTCAGTAAAATCAGGGGTCAGGAGGAGAAAATGTTGTCAAGGGTGTGAGAAGCAGCAGGCAGGTCTGACTAACGTCGTAAAAAGATGGCATTACCAATGCTTTTTTTTAAATTATTCTCAATGGTGTTTAATTATTTCCCTTTTTCTATTTTAAGTGAGAAGCTTCAGTTTACTTTTCTTGTGATTTACTACTTATTAACAAGAAAGAAAGATTTATGGTTAAAACAATAGAAAATTCTAAATCATGCATAATAATTTAAATACAAATAACATCAAAACTCAAGAGTTTAATTGCATAAATGCCTCAAGAAATGCACGAAAAACAGTGTTTTCCTTAAAAAATGAGTGTAGCGACACGAGGCACACACATGATGAAAGCTGCAGAGCGTTCTGCCTCCAGCTGCAAGATACCTCCACAAACACTAGTGGCTAATGCGCGGCAACTTCCTAACACTATTTACAATGTCGATAAACACCTGGACTAAAAAAATTATCTATTTAGTCTAAATGCAAATGTTTACAGCCTTACAGCTCCTGCTTTGCTGCCATTAAACTTTCTGAGTTAGGATCCATCTACTTCCTGCATGCGTTTCTGCTTCAGAGTAAGGTTTTGCTGAAAAAGAACAACAAAGACAAACACACACTGTTCCGTTTGCTCCGACGGCTAAACATGAAGTCAGAGTAGAACGCTGTCCGCTGGGAGAGACGACACCATGAGGATAATGTGCTAAAACAAGTAAATGATGTAGTTACTCAGGACGCGCTCCAACTGACGCCATGTGGCTGGAACAGATTAGGATGTTTGTCAGCGAAGTTATGGAGTCACCTCACCCTCACATCCATTTGGCAGAGGACAGTAGTATGACTCATAGGTTCATACACTGGTGACACACCACCATGCTGCTTTTGGCACTTGACTGATGACTTCCTAAGCTGATGGAGACACGCCTCATGTTGGAGAATGACGACCAGCATGAGCACTACTGCAGTTTGTGTTTTTTTTAAGACAGAAATCAAAGTCTAAGATTTAACTCACTCGGTCACCATCTGTACGTGCATGCTCAGATAACTGATTCGTGTCTGGCTGAATGCTGTTTAGGACTTTGGTTACAGTGTTTGACAGCTTGAGATGCTCTATGTTTACAGGAAATCTGGAGACAGAAGGTTCATATTCCAGGAGGAGCTGAGAAATTGCCTCCATGATTAACGTGGACGTATTAATCATCTAAACAAAACACAGACTGTTGTGAATTTGATTTTCTCACTACCTTGGACAAGGTGGCTCGCACATGCTCAGTCTCAGCCCGAGCCTGAAGCAGCTCCTGCTTCAGCTCGGTCAGCTTCACCTCCAGCTTGTCTCTCTCGGCGTGAGCTGTTTTCAGTAAATTCTGCAGCTCCGTGCTGTCGCTGGCACTTTGCATGGCCTTCAGCTCACCCACTTTTTGCCTCTCTATATCCACTTGTGCCTTCAGCCGACTGTTTTCCAGTCTGAGACAATCTGTTGTTGCCCTGTGTTCCTCAGCTGCTTGTGATGCCTGACCTCTGATTTCCACCTCCTTGTCCAGCTGAGCCTGCAACCTGTCCATCTCCTCCTTCAGGCAGTGCACCCGACTTTGAGCCTCCTGGTGTTCCTCCTCTAGAGCCCGTAGGCTGCCTGTCAACTGCTGCTGGATGTCCACCAGCTTCTCCCGTTCAAACTGAGAGCTCTCCACCAGCTCAGCGTACCTCTGCTCCAGCTCTGCCAGACGAGGCACTTGGCTACCCAGCTCCATCTCTCTCTGGGCCTGAGCCTGAGCCTGCTCCTGGAGTCTGACAGCAAATGTTTCATTCTTCTGAGCCAACATCTCCAGACGTTCTCTCTGCTGTTGAAAGGAGGTCTGCAGGAGGCGCTTCTCCTCAGCTAGACGCTCGTTCTCAGCTGTTAGCTCTTGCACTACCTGCTCCTGGTCAGCCAGCTCCTGCAGCGTCGCCTGCAGCTCCTCAGCTGTGCTGTGGTGGTTTTCCTCCATCCTGTGAATTTGCTCCGTCAGACTCCTCACTGACACATCCTGAACTCCAGCACTAGTCACTGCTTCCCCGCTGATGCTGCTACTCCCTGACTCGGAGCGTGATGGGATCTTCTCAAACTCAGAGGAGTCAGGTGACGGGGACTCCTTTAGAGTGTCAGGGTTGAAGGAGTCAGAGGTTTTGAGGGGGCTGGGATTGGAGGGAGGACTGTCCTGCTGGGTAGCTGAGAAGTCTGAGGGAATCCCGTTCACCAGAGTACTAGATGGGGAACTTGTGTTTGTGCTCAGAGGAGAAGCCTCAAAGCTGAGCAGCTTTTCCTTCAGTGCTTGATTCTCTTCTCTTAGTGATGCCAACTCTCTCTGAAACCTCTCATTCTTCCCTCTGAGCTCCCCAACCAGAACCAGAGCCTCATTCACCTGCTCCTGCTCACAATCACTTGGATGCTCTTGTTGTGAGACAGTGTTTGTTTGACTTTTGCAGCTCTGCAGCTCCATCCTTAGATTGCTGATCTCCAAGTCTTTAGCCTTCGCCTCAGCCATCAACTCCTTCACCTGGCTCTCCAGGAGGCTTTTTTCCAGGCCCTCTACGTCTGCACGGGACTTGGAAGAGCCACGTGTCTGTTTCGCCAGGGTGGAGAGGCTGGAAGTGCTGGCACTGGAAACCATTCTTTTAGTGGAAGAGCTCCTCAGCTGATCCCTTAGAGACACACGATCTCTGGTAATGGATGAAGGGATTTCTCTAGGAGCTGGGATGCCAGACTTCTTGGCTGCTTGGGGTCCTGAAAAATAAAAACATGAAATAAAGACTTAGCAGGAAGCATTCATTGTAGTTTTTTTAATTATCATATTTCTGATTCTTAAACCAACAACTGAGACGGGTTTGAACATGATTCAGTTACAATTTTAACAGAATATTTTTCTACTTAGAACTTGTTTTTGATCTTGTTCAAAAATAAACCATTACAGTGACTTTAGTATTCCATGACTAACGGACACTCAAGGAACCCCCCTATAAAGATTGGCTTTAGTGGAATTAGGCTATATTGATAAAATTTATTGTAGAAAGCTCTGATCCACTCAAATAACCTGACTCTCACATAGACGATCTGTTTTTGCTAGTGTAAATTATCACTTAGAAAGCAGAGTCAACCGGCTCAATAAATGTCAGATTTTCTTGCTGCTTGGCTATGGTGCATTCACAGACTGGAAAAAGTCAGTATAGCAAATTAGTTAATAATAAGCTGATCCTGCATATCGGCCTATTTTGATCACTAGCTAATTTTTTGGTGCATCTCTCTGCAGTGTTCTTTTGGGGGTCTGATGATGAAAAGTTTGGGAACCACTTCCCTAGGAGGGCAAAAAGTTTAAAGGTCTCTGGATTTAAAAAAAACAGATTCTTAATTTACAGTTTAGACTTGAGTGTTACTGAATTAAATATGCAGCAGGGCACACAGTGGATTCCCTGACCCTAGTTGAGGTTCTTTTTGGGAGTGACAAGGATAGATGGGATTCAGGAATGAGTTCATCAGAGGAACAGCTCATGTTATAATAATTCTATGGTCTATAAAACATGAAAATGAAGTTCTTTGCACTAAATTCTTCACACATGAAGCATTATCCAATCCAATCCAATCCAATTTTATTTATAAAGCGCATTCACAAGGCATTACAACCAAACAAGGCGCTGCACACTAAAAATGTTGGTTAATTAAACAGGCGTTAAATAAACATGTCGAACACAGATAAAAGATAAAAAGGAAATACAACAAAATTCCCAAAAATAACAGCTAAAAATCAATAAGACACAGGGTGAAATAAAAATAGGAAAAAACATTTTACAAAGAACCTCAATAATACGGAAGTCGATAATTGTGGAGTCCATTTATAAACAGTGCAGATGTCAGTGAGGTCCATAATTATGTTGTATAAGCTACGTTGAAGTAGTGAGTTTTCAGGCGTGATTTAAAAATGCTAGCTGTTGGTGCTTGCCTCACTAGCAGTGGTAATGCGTTCCACAGCTTTGGTGCACAGACAGAGATAGCCCTTTCTCCACGGCTTTTTAAACGTGCATTGGGAACAGCTAGGAGGAGCTTATCTTCAGACCTGAGAGCACGCGGCGGGTTGTAGTAATGGACAAGTTCACACAGATATGGAGGAGCTTGATGGTTCAAGGATTTGTAAGTGAGAAGCATAATTTTGAAGTTTATCCTGAACTGCATTATCAGTAGTTTTACTCATGACATTTTCAGTACCTTCCAAAATGAGCCATTTCAAGGCTTTGCCACTTTAAGAAAACAAGCTGGAAATGGCCATGCCCACCCACTCACTGCTCTGGCTGCTACTGGCTGAGAAGCCCTAATGTACATGAGGGACTTGTAGTAGAGCCATTGCTCATCCAGCAGCAGCAGCTCTCTCAAGCACATGAGAGGTGGTTCTATTCTAATTTCCCCATTTGTGACATCACAAACTGGGAATTTTTGGGACGTCTTGTTTTAGGCTCACGATTCTTAAAACCAAACCCTGACAGAGAACAGACAGACAGGAATTTAATGTTTGAAGTGTTTGTAAAGTCAGCAGTGGCCCACATGACAGCACAAAAGGATACAAAAGGTGACTTTTGCACAAAATGTCCACTTTAAGATGTTTTAGAGAGGACAGCCTGAGCAAATTTTGACATGTCCAAAGGAGAGATACTGCTAGCACTCGCAGAAGGATGCTGAGGTTGGAGGCACCAGGCAGGAGGCTGAGAGGAAGACCCAAAAGGAGATTTATGTCCGAGGTGAAAGAAGACATGAACTTAGTTATGAGAGCAGAGGATGCAGAAGGACTTCAGAGAGACAGATGATTTGCTGTAGCGATCCCTGAAGGGACAAGCTGAGAGAGGACAAGAGGAAGGACAGACAATGGAAAGGAGAAGGCTAATAGACTCAGTATTCTGACCCAGTGGACTCATGAATCTGACTCACTGAACAGAGAGTGTGTCACATTCATACTTTCATTTCACTTTCACTGTGGCCACTGTGTTCCATTCGTGTATTGTCCTCTACGTGGACAGCAGCACATCTGCCTGGCACTGCTAGTAGCTGTCAATTACCATTCATGGCTGCAGCAGAATTTAACTTTGGCATTTCAAAAGGCACCAACGTGGGCTGCTGGCCCGGACCCTTTCCAGACCCTTCTCAATTATGAAGAGTAATACTGATGTCTGGTATGAGCTGCCTGAAAACGTAGTATTGTTTGTTTTCAGATCATCAGCAAACAGCAGCGCGGACACAAATGAGTTGCTTGTTTCACGGGATGACAAAGGTCCCCGTGCACATGGAGCATTCAGGCACAAAGCAGCTTCATCAGCACACAGACAAAGACAGCACTGTGTCACTCAAATGCTCACATCATCATCAAACCCACAAAGCAATGAGCAGACAGGAGACGAGAGCACTTCTTCATCATCAACTCACGTACACACTCGCAGCAAACACACAACCCACAAACTAACAGCCACATTTAGAGAGGAAATCCTATACCCCCATGGACCACTCTGCCATTGATAGCCACTTTGCACAGGCGATCCTCTCACTGACTGAGCTAGCAACTGTGTTAGGCGCTGCCAACATGGGCACAATTTCTGAGTACAAAGCTGTTCTTGCAATGAGGGCTGTGGCTAAAAAGTGAGACGTTTTACAAAAATAATCAACATTCACTCTGGGGGAAAAATCATGCCACCGGACTGGACTGCACTTCAGATCCACAAAGTGCCATCAAACATCCAGAGTCAGTTTTGCCTGTAATCCACAGTGGGAAAGCTATGACTGACAGAATGAGGACACCGTCCACTCCTGAATTATGGAGTCTCTTAGAAGATGGTAAAGCATAATCAGCAGTGTTATAAAAGACCTTTCATCTTGCATTGGAGGAAGGGAAAAAAAACAGAAAAACTTAACAGTTCGTACTAATTTTAGGGCCACTTTTTCATTGATGGTAGTCTGAAAAAAGGTAATTAGGTGCTCAAATGATCAGAATTCATGCATCCCACTGATAGCAACACATTAAATAAATGAGAGCCAGCTGGAGAACACCACTCAGATCACACACCAGGATAACTATGACATCACCACAACCTGTTTTATCGTGCAGAAAAATTCAAGCATCAGCACTATAGACATGGTCGAATCCTAGACAACCATACAGAATCAGTTAGTTACCACACCTGTATTGTGGACACCATCACCCCCTGAAAAGGATTCTTGGTTTATTTATGTTTTATTTATAACAGTTGACCAAAATCTGACCTTGAAACAAACCTAAAACATAAAATAAAAAACAACAAAAGTGCCAAAACAAATATGACTCCTGTAATAAACATTTACCTGTTAATTGCTACCCAGTGTAGGAATAGAAACCATGCACTATAATGAATATTTCATCTATCCATCCTTAGTCATCCACTTATCCGGGGTCAGGTCGCAGAGGCAGCAGCCAAACCACAGAAACCCAGACTTTCCTCTCCCCAGGCACTTGGGCCAGCTCCTACGGGGTAATCCCAAGGTGTTCCCTGGCCAGCTGAGTGATGTAGTCCCTCCAGTGTTTCCTGAGTCTTCCTTTAGGTCTCCTCCTGGTTGGACGTGCCTGGAAAACCTCACCAGGGAGGCCTCCAGGAAGCATCCTAACAAGATGCCAGAGCCACCTCAGCTGGCTCCTCTCGACGTGGAAGAGCAGCAGATCTACTCCAAGCCTCTCCCGGATAACCAAGCATCTCACCCTATCTTGAAGTGAGAGTCCAGACACCCAGTGAAGGTGGGAACATAGATCATCCAGAATATCAAGAGCCTTGCCTTCTGGCTCAGCTCTCTTCACCACGACAGACCGGTCCAACACCAGCATCACTTCAGACGCAGCACTAATCCGCATATTATTGCCACTAAAAGTGATTTAATAATGGATCTGATGAGAATACACATAAGAAAATATTTATGTAAAGAAGTAAATATTAGCTAAACAAAAGACACTGAACAACTTCCAGTAATCCAGAGACTATTAGTTGCTTTAAAGGAAGTCGTTTCCTCAGTCACTGTGCAGCCTTTCAAGTTAATGAAGATAAGCTTTCAAATCACAGCAGGAACCTTCTGTCTGGACACCGGCCAGCTCTAGCTGGCTGACTGCAGCCAGCATGGCAGCCAGTCAGAAGGTGACCGAGTGCGTTCTGAACAAATCACACCGAGGCCTGCATTTACAAAACCGGAGTTATGGGTGAGGCAGAGCTGTGATGAATTCATGTCTGCAGGTGGTCAAGTGTCACAGAGTTGGCAAAAATGACGCATTGGTATCGTCATTACATGGTTGGTAAGGAAAGCCCTCCCAAACACTCCTCTGTCTTCCTTTCTTGGTTCCAGGAAACGTAAAGTGCAGTTTTTCAGTGAGACGAGACTCAAAAGGAAGACACATAAAAAGGCAATTTGTGTTTCAGGTCTTTTCTGCTGTCAGAGTAAGATTGCAGGAAACAGGCGTCCATCAGTCGTATAAACTCAGACATTCCCTTCCTCTGACAAAAAGGAATACAAACAGAGCTGAAGCTCCATGACTGCAACACAGGGTGACTCAGTCCAGGCGGCCAGAGGTGTTTGAAGAATGTGCGACTGAAAAACACTCCACTCAAAAAGAAAAAAAAATCACAGAGCAGTTCGTAGGAGCGGATGTTTTTTATGGGGGAAATGAAAAAACATATGTTACCTAATTAACAATAATATTCAACATGGGAAAAACATTAAAAAAGTTACACTAC